GTTAAGGCGCTGGACACTCCCACATGGCCGACCAGGGTTCAAGTCCTGAATCTGGTGGCTTGCTTTCTCACTTCCTCTCTCACTCTCACCCTCTGTCTCTCTCTGGTCAAATTAAAAGATAAGTGAATGAATAAATAAAATAAAATAAATAATGAAAGAAAGAAAGAAAGAAAGCCAGAAGCCTGGGTTTCTAACTCTCGTTATTTGCTGGCTATGGGACCTGAACACATCGCTTTTAGACCTTGTTCCTACATTTATAGCGTGGGGCAGGAGGAAGACAAGATCTGAAGAAATGGACTCCTAAGCCTCTCTAGTATAAAGTGTAGATTGACCGACTGCCAATTCCTGAGCCCGCCTACCAGGGTTTGAAGCATCGTCTGTTCTGACTGTCTATGGCACAATGCCAATGCTCTGTGACTTGAGGAAGCTACCTAACCTCTCTGTGGGAGAGTAACCAGACCCATCGTCGGCGTGCTGTGAGGGTTAGAGCTGTGTGACGTCCTCAGCGCGGAGGTGGCACTGTGTTGTCAGCTCACGTCGCTCTTACTCTCCTGGCAACTGAGTCACAGCCCGATAGGGAAGAGACGGGGCCACACTCGGTGTCCTCACCGCAAGCGCAGTGTCTGTCTTCATTCTGCAAGGGTCTGCAGAGCAGTGTGGTTAAGAGTAAGGATAGGGGGACCAGCAGTTGGCGTAATGGCTATGTCGCTGGACTCCCACGTAGTCGACCACAGTTCGAGTCCCGGACCCGGTGGCTTAAACTCACGCCAGGCACGTGTGTGTGCATGCCCAAGATCTCGAGAGGAGAATGGAGGAGAAGGGATTGCGGTGTGGCCATCCCCCCTGGGGGGTGATTTCTAGCTTTCTGTCTCTGTCTCTCTCTGTCTGTCTAGTGAGTGCACGTGCCCTATAGCAAAAACCTCTCCAAAAAAAGAAAAAAAAAGAGTAAGGATAGGGACCCACAGGTGGCGTGGTGGCTAAGGTGCTGGATATTCCCACATAGTCGACCACAGTTTGAGTCCCGGACCTGGTGGCTTGCTCACTTTCTTTCTCTCTCTGTGTCTCTCTCTGGTCAAATTTAAATAAGTGAATGAATAAGTAAAATTAATTTTTTTGGAGAGTTTTTTTTTTTTTTTGGCTATAGGGCGCGTGTGCTCGCCCAACAGACAGAGACAGAGAGACAGAAAGCACTTGCCCAGTGGCGTGTGGTCATGCTACATTCCCTTCTCCATTTCTCCATCTTAACAGGATTTGGGGGGGCACGCATGCACACGCACCCGGCATGAGTTTAAGCCACCGGGTCCAGGACGCGAACTGCGGTCGACTACGTGGGAGTCCAGCGACATAACCATCATGCTAACTGCTGGTCCCATAAGTAAAATTAATTTTTAAAAGTAAGGATAAAATTGGGGCTAGCAGGTATGGTCGTTCACTGGACTCCCACATGGCCGACGGTTTCAAGCTCTGGACCCAGCAGCTCAAAAGTCATGCCAGGTGTGTGTAGGTGTGTGCCCAAGATCCCAAGAGGATATCAGAGAAGAAATTATGGTGTGAGTATCCCTTATAAGGGGCTATTTCTCACTTTCCCTCTCTCTGTCTCTCTTTCTGGTGAACACATGTGCCCTATGGCAAAACCTAAAAAAAAAGTAGGGTAAAATAACAACACACTCACACTTGGAAGGTCCAAAACTGTAACTCCCATGCACCCTTTCTTGGGCAGTGACTTTAAAGATGTGCTCCTGTGGTCCAAGAACGAGGTTGACATGAGGTCTAGGAAACATTGGCTCCACCCTGGGAAGCTCGAGACTGCAGGAAAGCTAGCCTGGAGAACAAGGGTGCAGGACCTTGAGAAAGAGGTTGCGGCGAAAGGAGGGCTTGGTGGGAAAGAGAATAAGAAGGAG